TAGTTCTGGAATGCTGCTGCATTCATACACATATTTTTTGTATGTTAAAGAAGCCAAATGTATTATATCAAGAGCTCAGTGGCGATGGCGTGATGTGCTACGAGATCGTGTACGATTGCGAGCACGTCCTTGTCTGGGGCGAGCTGGGGATTGGGAGGCACGACGCTTACGCTTCGCTGATTTCGATGACGAACGGGAGGATGATCTTGTTCGTGAACGTGACTTAGAAATTTTTCGTTCAGCTTTTCCGGACCTATGTGATGAAGTTCGCGATGTTTGCGAGTGTGTTTTGGAGCGTGCTCGTGAACGTTTTCGTGTGGATGGTGCAGATTTAAGGCTATTTGACCGTGAATTCTTTCGATCTTTGGAAGTGGTCCGTTGACCCGATTTGCGTGATCGACTGCCTGAACGAGAGCCTCCAGAGCTGGAGCGTGAACTTGAAGTGTACGATGAAGAAGAACTTGAGCTGGACGAAGTGGAAGATCGTGAATGGGATCGAGAGCGACTACGTGAATGCAACTGTGAACGGGAACGGGACCTTGAGCGACTACGACTGCGAGATCGAGTCTCCTTTTTCTCAATTGATTTTGAGCTTGCTTTCGGTTTTTGGTCAACACCACCGGGTGTAACAAGAGTAACAGGAGTAATTTCATCGTCGCCCCACAAATCGTATTTAGAAAGGTCCCCACCATCATCTTCTTCATCTTCCTCCTCTTCGAGTGCGTCTTCATCCGTGTCATCATATTCCTTGTCATCTTCATTGGATTTTTCGTTGTCCTTCATTTTGCGCTTCTTAAGACGACCATATTCGTCATAATCGCTGTCTGAATCAGAACGATCCTTGTACTCGACCACGCCTCGGTCATTGTAACCACCGCCGTAACCTATATAGCCAAAAAATGAGAATATGTTTTAGAGGAATCTATTCATTACCTATATCTATTTTGATCTTTTTTACTACATAAAAGGGTATAACCACTACAATTAACACTCACCGGTCCGCTCTTCAACGTCGCAAAATTTCGGTGCATTACACATATTACAAGTCTGCCGACGAGCCCAATTTACATTGGCGCATTTGCTGCACTGCCAATCCTCAGCGGAGAAGAGGCCACGCGATTTTTCAGCAGCTGCTTTCCCAATTTCGGTTCCCAATTTTTTCTTCGACGCACCACCACCTCCACCGCCAGATGACCGATCAGGGCTGCGTTGCTCTAAACTGCAATGCAAATGTCAGAAATCGTCGGAAGAAATTTTAGTAAGATTGGTAAAAACAATTAATTGGCTTTTGCTGCGAACAACACTCGACCATCCTCCTCAGACAGTCGACAGACAGCTGCAACTCACTCGCTATCACCGAGAGCGTCACCAACGCCAGCTCCTGTTCCGGTATCAGCACTCGATGACATTTCTAATTTTATTTTATTTTTTGCCGTCTCTACACCCGTCTCGTTGATGGGCCAAAAAGTTTTGCCGTGCGCTGAATGTTACAGCGTATTTTTCATTAAACTTATAAGCATATAACAATGTTTGCACCCAAATTTATTTCAATGAACCATTTATTTGTAACAATTGTAGGCAAATTCAGTGTTAAAAATGCATGAAAATTCTGCAATCGATTTTTTTGGTTCTTAAACTTTCGCGTGTTTCTCCAAATTTACGTTCTTTGACATTGTTTGGGAACAAACGGCATCCGGTCGAACCGTACAGAGTGATTAGTATTCAAATAGCATTACTGTGAACTGGGAAAACAGCAGTTTTGGAGGCAGTGTGATCGAAAAATCGCAAAAACATCGCAAACACGCGTAACAACAACGCGTTTTGATTTTTATTCCACAAGAAAAACTAAGAGAACTTCTCCTGTTAAAATGTAGCAAATTTTAAATTTATTTAGACCTGCGCAAATTAAATTAATAAAAATAATTTTCACCGTTATTCGCGAGATTCCTTTTGTCCGGCAACTATGTTTTTTAAATTTTGTTTTGGTTTTGTTTTTTGCCAATTTCTTGTTTTGTTGTTATTTGTTGCTTCTTTGTAAATTTTTTGAGTCATTGGTCAAAAGAAAACGTCGTTCGTACAAAAAGTGATCGCATCCTTTGTCTAATTTGTAAAATTTAATTATACCATTTAATTTAAAATGGATGCAAAGGAAGTTGAGAAGGACACCACGGGCACCACGAACACCACGGACACAAAGAAACCTACATTCCTGAATGTTATGTGCGCAATTTGTTTTGAGTTCTACGAGAAATCAGATCGAATATATTCCACAACCTGTGGTCATTTATTTCACAATCGATGCTTGTTCGCCGCATTGAATCATTCGAAATCATGCCCGGAGTGTCGACGGCCCTGCACTCGCAGCCGAGTACATCCAGTCTTTTTGAATTACGGTGAACGTACAGAGCTAGATCTCAAATGGACTAATACCGCTGCAGCCGATGTCTATGCAAATATGCCCATTTGGACACCACTTTTCGAATTAGAGCTGCGTGGCTCACCGCGTGTCCCTTTGGCACCGCCCGAAGCAGACGAAGCCATTCAAACTGGCACGGATCCTGATGGTAATCCTACATATGTCGCTCGTGTCTATTTTCAAGATGATCTACTGCCTGCTGGTTATGTGCCAGCGAAAGGTGTTGCATACGCTTCTCATGGCTGCAACGGTTATGCTTTCAGTCAAAATGTTGAGCTGCTAAATAATTTCAAACACAAATGGGTAGCCGATTCAGATGGTCACATACCAGAGGGTGCCATTGTGGGTGGTTATTCTGAATTGGGTGAAAATTTATATGTGGCACGTGCACAGTATAACGATAAAACGCTGCTGGGTAAGGTGCATCCTTCCCATAGGGTAATGTATATGCCGTACAATGGAATTGAGGTGCATACTACCGAATATGAAGTGTTGGTACAGGAAAATATTACAGCAGAGAGTAGCGATGAAGCAAATGATGAAGCCTAATTGCGCGCTTGTAATAAAAGGTGGAACGAATCTCCATTTGAATTTGCAAATGGTCAATTTGTTTTTAGGTATTAAATCATTCTGGATTTGACTACCATTAGAGCTGCATATAAAATAATATAAAAATCAAATTTACCTGAAGACTGTCACAACTCAAAAGTTGAAATTTCTCCTAAGACGCCGTTAAAGTTTACAATTTGGTCATAAAATGTAGAAAAAATCAGATGCATGGTTTATTCTTATGCAAAACCCTATACAAGATTTTATCACGATTCTTTTTTTACAATAAGAAGCATGATATAACGAATAATACTGCATCATTTGCCAAAAAATTAGCGTTTTTGAGTTTTGAGGCAGTCTTTTGGTAAATGAACGTCATGTAAAAGGCGTGAATATTTTTTTTTTTAATCAAATGCATAATATTATGTATATATCGAGCCCTAACCGCCAAAATAACGTAAGCGACATTTTTTTCAAAATTTTCTTTTTGATGCAGAAATATTCCTAGAGCATCTAGATGCATTTCTGCATCAAAAAGAAAATTTTGAAAAAAATGTGGCTTACGTTATTTTGGCGGTTAGGGCTCGATATTATATACATATGGACAGCATTGCAATACCACTGTCCTTTGGAACTGGGAGAAATGTAGAAGTCAATAATATGTATCCATGTGTATGCATATATATTTTTTTTAATAAGTACTTACATAAAATAAACTTAAAATTTAGCAAATCAATGTGTAAACTCGTAAATAAAGAAATGCATATGTAATTGTTTCAGTCTAGCAGTTTTTTTTATTTATCAGGGGAGTTTTCTGCTTGTATAATTGAGTACCGTTAAAAACTACTCTTCATAAAATTTTCCATTTTCAACTTGCATTATGTTATAAATTCATCGGAATATTATTTTTTTTTGTCCACGATAACCAATTTCGATTATTGATCGTAAAGGTTTTTGGTTTAGATCCGTTCATGGATGGGATCATGAAAAAATCAACGGTACTCCTAAATGTTTATATGAGAATTGAAGTCGGTTTTGTTTTTTGCTTAAAAATTACTTGTATTATATCAATTTCCATTTATGATTTTTCTAACTTCTTATTTAAAGTCGCATAAGCATGGTAAATCAAATCAGTTCAACATTTCGCTAACCTAAGTGATTTCCTTATCACCAAGGGGCAAAGATTGTTGATTAAGAAAATGTTGGCCCCACGTATGTATGTATGGACATTTCGCACACCTTCTTCAAAAGAAGCATAACTGAAAACTTGACATTTTTGAAATTATGCGCTAAAAATGTACACAGAGCTTTTATTTACCTTTCAGCAAAGGCTGGAGCAAATTTTTGTTATAATTTGTTGAAAAAACCTAAAGCAAAGTCTCCCTTGCATGAGCGTTGTCACATAAGGAGTCTGTTAAATGAGCTTTGCGTGTAAGCGGTTACTTAACGCATAGTACTTCACATGTAGAAGTCTGTTGGGTGTTGATTTTTACGTAAACATGGTATAGCAGTGCAAAGTATGCATAACTGAACTGAACTAAAATTGTCGCCAACACTGATCACACAATGGACAGTTCCATCGGACTTCTGCATGTCAGTCCACAGAATCATCGAATTTGTGCTAGGAGCAAAATGCGATCTTCAGCGGAACCCCAGGAATACGAACAGGTACACCTTTGGAAATTTAATTGGCATTAACCAGCCCAAGTTAGAGCAAAGATTGCATGAAATTAAAACACCAACTTAACAGGCTAAACGGCGTTCTTACTGCTGACATCGTTAACTCTAGCTGTAACGACCAGGCCGAAAGGTATGGTCAAAATCGTGTGGTAGCCTGGGGATCTCTCAACGCTAAGGAAAGAGGTGCTAGGTGCAAGGCTAGGTACACACATCGCTGGGAGGACTTAGGACCTTGGCCAGTGGTGCACAGCGTCGACTGAGCTACCAATACCAGCGCAACATTTTTTTGTCTTAGTATGTGTATGTCGCAACAGTTCGCTAGCTGCGCACACACGACTTGTTGTATGTCAAAGCCGAGTAGCTTCCGGAGACTCCCAACACGATTTTCCGCGGCTTCTTGTTTGATGTTGTAAAAGCCTAATGTGTTTTGTTTATGTTTATCCAACCATGTAACAACATGAAAATTAAAAGCTAAAAATTAAGCATATGTAAAGATACATTTTTCGTCCACCTCTGAAATCCTCCCGGCACAATTGAAATGAAAAAACTTTGCTTATTTCACTAACAAATCTTTGATTTTATTTTTCTTCTCTATCTACTGATAATTTTATGTATGTATTATAACTATGTATATATGTATTTGCTTATAACCTAGCGGCTCAACATCTTTCACTTGTTCTCTTATAAAAAACAAACAGCACGGTACAGTATGCGATTGTAAATACATTGTAATGTATACTCTCCTCATTCCACATTGAATTGTATTACATACTCACAAATTTTTTTGTTTAGTTTTCATTCATACTTAATATGCGATATAACATACAAATAACTCATGCCTAAATTTGTAACATTGGTAAGCTTTTTTATTTTATTTTTTTTTTTTTAAATATCAACACTTTTTGACACTTGTTACTTAAGCAGCTCTATTCCCAAGTAATCACAAAACTTATCTCGCATCACTAATGTGATAACTCCACTAAGAAATAATAGATTTTAAGAGCTTAAGAAATGCAAAAATATAAATAAAAATGTCCTTCATATATTTTTATATATAAAATATGTTTTTTGCGGCATATTTGTAAGCACAATAGTGATGCGAGGAGTTTCGTGATTGCGTAGGAACAGAGCTGTAAGTGTTGTTAGAATTTTGCGACATTATATTTTATTTAAGTCAAAAGCGGCGTCATATTTTTGTATACATTTAATGGTCAGAATAAAAAAAAAAATTAAATTATATACAAAAAATTATAAGGATGTATGCATCTGTGTATGTTTGTGATGTTCTCTATGTGACTTATGTGATTATATAATTAAATGTTAAAAATGTTATTAAATGTCAATGGCAACACAAAATGTATAGAGGTACTAATAGGCTTATTAAATACTCATATTTAAATGTTTATTTTAAATATGACTGCAACACTCGTGTTCAGTGTTGTTTTATTAAGAGGCGGTTCCCCAATAACTTTATAAGCACCACACACTACGTAGACTTAAAAATTATAAAGTATTTTTCAAATCTACATATGTTATGAATAGTGCTTATTAAGACATTTAGTAATCGGCCCTAAGATTCATAAACGTATTTACGCTTATTTATATGTACGTATGTACATATGTGGTATGTATATACGTATATGCTACTTAAAGTATTTTATGCTAATATATGTACATATTGTTATTAGTCGGTTAGATACAAATTTATGGGTTTAAGCAAAGTAGCAGATTCTTTAAACTTTGTATAATTTTTTTTACTGCAATAAATCAGCATAAATTGAAAGATAATTTACATGTTCCGTTTCAGTTAGGTGATACATAAGGTGGCATAACGACTTATAAATATCATTATTTTCGTCATAAAATTTGTGAAAACGTGCCCCTTTATGACACCTCATGAATCCACTACATATTTACATTCATATCACATAAATATGTACATATTTAGTAGTTTTTGAAAATCATATGGAAGTGTTATTTTTGAGAAGTCTCAATGCGATGATAATAATGTTTTAGTCCCTTGTATACAATTATAGATTAGTTATAGTTATTATGAAATAAAGATTTTTATTTGTCGGAGCATTTCAGAAACTAACTATATTGTGCAACTTTTTTTATAGGAATTTTAGAGTAAACCGTGCGGTTAACTACTTTTATATAAATAAATTATGGTAGGCGGTATTGTTGAACGTTTTTTTTAGCTTTTACTTAACATATAAGTTAGTAGTCTTTCAGATTAATGATTATATAGCATTATAAATGGTAATCTGCCATTACGTTTCTGTATTTCTCTGTATAATTAGATAAACAACTCTTATTTTCTACTTCAGTATAAATTTTAAAACACTAGATTTTTTAGCCAACATCTAAATATACCAAGGTGGCAAAATTTAATGCTAATTGGCAATTTGTGAAATACACTAGAGTTAATAACATTTTGTTGGTTTTATTTTTTAACATTTGTAATTCTTTTATCTTTCCAATTAATAAATTCTATTAAAATCGAATTATACGCATTTGAAGTTGTAGAAAATAATACAAATAAATAAAAAAAGCAAATTAGAATACTTAACCGCACAAGCCGCATAATATGCCCTACAAACTGCTGCATTTGCTTCTAAACAAATTGCTTCATCGGTTATTGTTCTTTCTCATACAAACCGTGTTTGTTTAAAAACAAATATAAAATGTAAGGAAAACCAAACTACGCTTCATACATTAATCAAACTTAAGAAATAGAGGTATAAGCAAAGTCAGAACAGAAATTACAATAATATAAATGAAGTAGATAAGTAACTCAATTGGCTCACTTGTTGACACATTATTTTTGTCGTTGTTCTTTTTGTTTGGTGCCCATTTGTGTGCTATTATTTCTACGTTGCTTATGTTAAAGTTGAATTCGCACCAAACGCTACCGCTGATCGTTGTCAGTTGACTCAGCTGCACAGGCTGTATCTCACTTCTTCGAAGACAAATAGTTCATATACTTGGCAGTTTGGCGTGCATTACGCACCAGTTCGCTATTCTCATTTTTCGTATCCCACGAATTGTCCTCGGGCTGAGCTTGCACATTGTGCGTATCTTCCCAGCGGTCTTGCCGCTGTTGCGACTGCCGGCCAAAGTTACGGTTACGCTGACGTCGGTCAAATGTGCCTGACGCTTCGCTAGCCAAACTGCTCTGGATACTATAGCGTGCGTTAAAGTTGCGTGTGCGCTGCTGATTTTGCCTATGCGTTGAGGGACTTTGACTACGGCGATACGGTGGTGCATTGTTAGCACTCTCGTCTGCGTCATCGAAGTGTCGTGATTTGCCTGGACGTGGAAGCGTACGTGCACGCGATGAACTGCGACTATTCGATTCGGGTCCATTGGAGCGATACGCTGAGTTCTCATCATGGTAGGAGTTATTCATTACATTGTGACGTGATTGCCGCCACGAGTTGCTATGTATATTGGTGTCTTTTTGTTGTTGTTGCTGCTGTTGCTTTTGGAAGCGCGGTGGTTTATCACAGTTCTGACGATTATTAAAATGGCGATTGCCGCGACGGTAATTGTTGCCACGTTCATAATTGCTTATATACGAACGCTCGCTGCGATCATCTGCATGCTGCGACTGTCGATCCCAGTTCGAATTGGCAATAGAGTTGAAATTACTGCCACTACGTTCCATCTTCTCTTGGGAGTGTCGTAAACGATCATTTATGCTATACAGTCGAATGCTGCCACCGTCGCTGCGCACACTATGATCATCGTCAAAACTAGCACTGTAACGGCGTTGTTGATTACGCTGAGGCCCATCG